TGAAACCTGAAAAAACCTGAACCCTCCATTTTCTTTGGCGGGAGTGAGGATCAACAGTAATTAATCTGCTAGAAAGAAGGGAAAAAAAAAGTTTTATATCAACATGAAAAAATAAAAAATAAATGAATTATATCACATCTAAATAATAAAACAGAGCGGATCGATTTTTCAAGCGATAAAAATGAGAACAACCACTAGCCACCCTCGACCAATTGTTTTGTACGAAAGGTTGTAGCCACGCGTTCAGAGTTTAAAAAATGAATAACTTGTTTTTTTCCGATTCAAAAAAAAAAAAAAAAACCAATGACAACTTTCTTTCCCAAATCTAGTACCTCTCTCCCCTCGTTGTTTTGACACTGTATATAATCACTATGTTTCCTACCAAAACCGAATCACTGTTGCAAGTCGGTTGACGATATATAGTCAATATATAGTCCCCATTCGGCTAAATAAGCTAAGTGGTTTATTTTTTTGTCCTTATTCAATTTTTTTTGGTATTTGTTAATTTGTCGTAAATTTTTGGGGGATTATTTCATGGTCATGACAAGAGGAATCTAAAAAGTAAAAAATTATTATCGAAATCAAAGTTTTTTTAATTAAAGACGAAAATAAGCCAATAAGCCAATTTTTTCGTCTTTATTCAAAAAAAATTTGATTTCGATCATAATTTTTTACTTTTGGTAGAAGTTCTTTTGGCACGAGCATTCTACTAGTATAATTCAAACCAAAGCACATATAAGTGTATACATATATGTACGCATTTAGTTGTATCTATGTGTGTGTGTGTTCATTTCTCATGCAAATTAAAATGGCAAGGCTTGCTATGAAGACGACCATGCAGGATTTTAACTTGAGGCTGACGACATATACATGCAACGTATAAAATTGAAAAGTGTACGTCATTAGGTTGGTATTAATTAACCTTGTTGAAAAATAGAATAAAACACTTAACGGCGCCGCACCGAGATAATTTGAAATTATTCACAACTAATACTGCAGCAAAAATGGAATGTATTTAAAGTTTAGAGTGACCTTTGGTAATAACATTATTCCTACGTACGAATGTTTATTGTTTATTTCGCACGCCAGGCTGTCCGCCTATCTGTCTCCAAGTTGTTAAAAAAGAGTGACGTTCTCAGTCTTAGGATTCGTTCTGTTTCTAAATAGGAATGTCTTTTTGAGCAAGAACTACAGCACCTGGCTCCTGAAATTTCTGTCATTATACCTATGGAGGATACTAAGTTCATTTTCCTGATAAATGAGTGAAATAGGGTAAAGATAAAAAGGGGCACACAAGCTACTATAGTGAGATCAAAACAATTGTCTATGGGACAAAGCTATTGCATGGAAGAGAGAGTTAGCCTCTACCTATAATTGGTTTCTTCTAAATTTTTATTTATTTTTTAGTTCATTTCCCATTTTGTAATTCGCTTTTTGTGATTTTTTTTTTTGATTTTGCTGAAACCTTTTCTTGTTCTTCTCGACAAGAAGAATCCAAAAACTATACATAAACCAAATCTAAAGAGAGTTCAAATAAGCCAAAATTTTCAGCTTATTTTTGCGTTTTTTAATTAAAATCAAGAATGATTAAAATAGCAGTTTCCAAATTTAGTCATTACCTTTTAACTTTTTGAATTCTTCTCTTGTCGAGACAAACTGAGAACACTACTATGTAAAAAAGAATTTTAATTTTTTTTCCTAAAAATAAATATGAGTTTAAGACAACCGTGGCTGAGGTGTGTGAGTACATGTGTTGGTGTTTCAGCTAGAAACGCAAATCCCTCCGACCAAAAGAAAAACAAAAAAGATCCTGAAAACGTGCATTGCCATTGTTTTGTTGGAGAGAGAGAGAGAGAGAGAGAGAGGATCACCCTAATCTTTCGGGATCAAAAGCCATGCATGAAGATCAACCCCACTTATATATCAACCCCACTTATATATATGCTTTTCATAACTAGTTATACTTTATATACAAACCCCACTTCTCTACCAACAAGCAAGTGTGTGAGTGTGTTAGAGAGAGAGAGAGAGAGAGAGAGAGAGAGACTTACTTCTTAGATATGCAAAAGCTAGTAGTGGGGTAGATCAAGCACAATATAAGTTGAAGAGAGTGAGAGAAGGGTATTTATATATGAGTAGTATGGGGCTGCAATGGAGTACTACGCAGAAAAGGGAAAGCATTTGCACCTTATTTGTGTATGCTGAGATAATCCATAGCTGGATTTTTAATTTTAGCCCTTATATATATATGATCTAATTAATCAGATCACCTATTTTTTAGGGGTTCATTTGGATAACAAATTATGCCAACATATAATTTCCTCACACATATTTAAAAACGATAAAGCTTAATTTCCATATATTCAAATTATCCAGTCTTTTGTCAAAAATAGTACAATGGAATTTTGGCAAGAAATTATCATGTTCTGTAAACGATAGCAATATAATTTTTTTCCCAAACTGCAAACGTCAACATTGTTTCTCTCCTATATATGTGAAATTTTCTGAATAGATTTCTTTCTTTAATTGTTGTTTTTTGTCGTCTATGAAATAACTATGACCCCCTGGCCTATGTTGGCCATACTTCAGAATGTTGCTGTCCCTAAGTGCCCAAGTCCTACGTTCGGAAAGTCTTTCAACGGGAACATACTATAGATTGGTCCAATAACCAATTGGCTCCTCGCTATTATGAATTAGCTATAGTAGAAAAAATTGGTTCCACAAGGACAAGATTTGGACCTACTACGGTGTGGATATGTATGTCGTTATTGTGTTCTTCGAAAACAGAACTTAAAATCCAAACTAGAAAACGAAATAGATGAAGAAAAGTTCTAGCTCCTTATAATTGTTTTCTTTACTAATAAAACCAAAACAAATAATTCAAGATTTGTAAACCATAATAGTCACTTTTTAATTGACGGCTAATTAAATGATTATGTGTGGATCACTCTAGCCATGCTTTGTTTGGATTGGAGTTTGACAATTTTTTTGAAAAATAGTGGGGGTAATAAGTATGAGAGAAATGTTGGAAGTATGAGAAATTTTTTGAAAAATTCTTTTTGAATTGTAAAGAGAACAAGGCAAATTTTCATTTCGGTATTTTAGTACGTGTTTGTTTTTTTGGTTGAATTTGCATTAAATTTTTTGGATTAGTTATTCGTCTTTACGAGATAAATCGGAAAAGTAAAAACTAAGACAAAAACAAAGAAACAAAAGTTCACTGAAGACAAAAGGTTTAAAATAATTTTCTTTTAATTAGTATCTTTAGGGTCGTCTAATCTGAACTTTTTTCGACTTGGGTCGATAATTTTTTTATTTTCTGATTCCTCTCATCTAGACCAATGATTAATGATTCCTCTCGTCTCTAGACCAATGATCAATTACGAAAAAATTGAAGAAAATTTCGCCGTTTCAAAAAAAAAAAAAAAACTAAACTAAATATCACTAAAAAAAATCACTTACTACCAAATTGTCTTTAAGAATAATTAATTTAGTCCAAACTCAGCATAAGTTTGGTTATGGATGAAATAGGGGTGATGTTAATGTGACAAACTTTGGTTTTAAAAATAGTCTATCTATACTTTCATATGGCACTTTTGTGTTTTATTAATTATTACTAACATAGAAAACAGTAAATATTTCAAGGGTAAAGGTGGTTATGATCTGGCAATTTAATGATTTAAATTTAAAAGCTCTAAACCACCAAAAAAAACTTAGAACTAAATACGTTGATTATGGATCCGAGAAATTGTTGCTCTCGATCATTTGATTCCATCTCGAAGCCAAAAAAAAAAAATTTCTGAATTAGGTCCATTCAACTAGGGTTACAACTTACCTCTCTCTCTCTCTCTCTCTCTCTCTCTCTCTCTCTCTCTCTCAAAATTGAAATTGAAATTAATCTATTTTAAGGTAAATAATACTCTTCGATATACTATTGTGACCTGACCTCTAGGTTGGCTAAAACTTTAACAAAATTCAACATTTTCATTAGCTAGTGTAGTGTACGTAAGTGGTTTTATTTTCATGCTTAATAAGAACTAAAATTTTGACGGTTCATTCCTTTTAAGAGAGATTCAGCAGAGTCCCATCGAATATTGTGACTACTCTTTCTGAAATTCGACCATAGTACTTTTTGTCACGAGACAATTTTAATTTTCATGTAACGTTTATGGCCGGTTAGATACTCTTATAACTTTTGCAATTAGAATTTCACTAAAATAAGAAGATAGTATATGCTAGTAGAATTCTTACCATAAGACATTGTCACCTAGTAACTCTAACAGAGTAACACCGTGAGTGACTATAAATTGGATACTTAGTTTATCAAAAAGCTACAGAGGCAATGCCCATAGTTTTAGTAAAAAAAAATAATACTAGTTAATTGGCTCATATCTGTATGTCTGCTTACCTGCATGTCTTTCTGTCATGACTTACACTATTTTTTATGTCTTGCTAAATTAGATTGTGTTTTCAAAATCATTTGTCTTTTACTTTTCCAAATCATTCAGGAAAGTAATAAACATTGTCAAGAAGTTAAAATTTTGCTAAAGGGAAAAATAAACTTAGAAAAATGACATTCCGAAAATTAATTCGAAAGGTTATTTTACCAGAGATTGCACTAGTGACTAGAATATTACGAAGAGTATCAAGTCTATCAACTCAAATCCGGAACCCCCCAACTCTTAACTGTGGTGACATGACCATGAAGAACGAGGATATTGGGTAAGACTCAAGAATTGCACAAGTAGCAGAGCACGCTTAAAGAGCATCCCTGCTCCCATTTTACCTTCACAGAGGGAGAAAATTGGAGGGATGAGAAAGCCCAAAGCTAGTTAGAGGGGGAGGAATTGCTTTCTGCCCTCTCTTTCCCTTCTCTCTATTAGGAAAGTAGGTTCAAGTCAAATGGCTTGCCACAAGCTGGGTTCATGGGCTGCACCGCTAATTCTCCTGTTCAATAGTCGTCAGCTCATTTTTGACAGATCCAATCAGGAGTTCACAATTTGGAGTAAAAGGATTCGTACCTTTACATGCCGGTACCAAAATCCGATGCCTTACCGCTTGGCTATACTCCATACGGCCTGTTAAACACTTAAAGGGTTGGTTGGCCCGCCTAACAGATGATGAGATTCTCGAGCGATTTGTGGGAGATCTACAACGAACTGCAAATCATTATTGGCATGACATGAAAGATGTTCAAGTGGAGACTGATTCACAAATGGCAGCATCCCTAATCAAGGAAGGTCCACCACCCAACTCCCCACATAGAACCATAGTGAAGAGTGCTAGAGCAATCAATCATACACTACAGCAATGCTACGTACACTCCTACCGACCACATATGTGTCGGCCCCATGCATTATCCCTCGAGACGAGGTTCCGGGAATGCTTGCAGCGTATGTGGCTGGAGTGGCTTTTGAAAGGGGATCACTCCCTCATTCAGTTGTATGATCTGTTTCTTTTGACTTCCTGTTTCACCCAAAAAAAAAACCCAGTCCTAGCCTTCTGTTCACCCCTTCTTTAGAATGTAATTCAACTCATCATTTTGGCAGAAAAGCTTAACAAACTACTACGTCTTTTTTCAACACGAGACTTTAGTCGTTCTCAGACATTTTCGTAGAGTTTGTATTTGAAGCTTTACATGTACACACTAACATGTGAAAAAACCAACTTGTTCGATGCTGTCCAAGACTTAAAGGAGAGTGTTTGCATTGCTAGTTCACGGATAATTTACCAAGAAAAAGGAAAATGCTTTGAAAACCACCACACACACACACACACAAAAACCCGGGTTCATTGCCTCATTTCCAACTCACATAGCAGCGGGGAAGATAGAAAACAAGCATTCTTTCTTCAATCATTGATAATAGGGAATGACTTCGGTGTCCCCGGTCATTTTGGGGACACCGTAACTTTTGGCATAACAAAACCATTATAAGCATAACCAAATTCATTACAAGCATAACCAAAACCATTATAAGCATAACAAAAACCATAACAAGGCATAACTTGGTCGGTTATGCCTTGGTTGATTTTTGGTTATGCCTTGATTGGTTTTTAGTTATGCCTTGGTTATGCCATGTTATGGTTCTATTATACTTGTAATGATTTTTGTTATGCTTGTAAGGGTTATGTTATGCCAAAAATTACGGTGTCCCCAAAATGAGCGGGGACACCATAGCATCATCCTAATAAGTTGATAATAAGTCAGAAGTCGCGGTTTGTTTGTCTTCGATCAGAAGGAGAAGTACATCAGATATCCCAAAACTGCTGATATCAAACCTTCTCAGCAGGACGACTTCTTACAAGACTCATTAGTGGCAGGGAGCTATGATTTCTTTCTACTCTTAAAGAAGACTCGAAGACACTTGACACTCTGAATGAAGACGCTGCGTTCCTTCAATCATTTCTTTTTTCCTCCACATATCTGCATAACGGAGAAAAAGATGAGAGAGAACATGTTGATCTTCTCAAAGAGCTCCCGTTGACCAGCTAGCTCTGAGCTCTAGTGGCATTTCACCCCCAACTCTTTTTCACTACGGCTCCAGCCAACCAACAAGTCGCCGGCTGGTTGTTCAACAGAGAGAATACATAATCTAAACACAACACACAAAAAAGACAAGCAATACAAAATTTATAAGTGGCCTGAACTGATTATGCATAACGTCATAATTACTATGCGTAATCTCTATAAGTGGCCTGAACTGATTATGCATAACGTCATAATTACTATTCGTAACCTCCTAGCAAAAAATAAACAAACAGAACATCAATGACAAGTAAAACAAACACTCCCTCCTCCTTTCTTTGTCGTTTCCAACAGTCGTGTCCTTTAATCAGGTCAAAAAATATTGTGTATTCCATTAGTGAAACAATTGTATTCAGTTCCTGTAGACCAATATGATAGAGGGATAGAGGGACAACCACCACATACCATTTTTAATGTGCCTTCTTCCTCTTCTTCAATTTTTTGGCATGAAATTGAGCTTTCTTTTTTGATGGCTCCGCAGATAGTTTCCTTTTCTTGCTTCTCTTTTTTGGAGACACCGGCTCGTCCTCAACACCTGGCCCAACTGGGGGACTGTCTTTGTCTTCATCTTCATCTGAACTAATAATCAAGTCCTCAACCACATCTTCGTCGAATGCTGCCTCTTCTGGTGACTCCTTTCGTCTCTTCTTTTTCTTCTTTTCCTCCACTTTAGGATTCTTATTCCTGCAAAAGCAATAATAAGCACGGTTGGACATAAAACAAGTTGTGAGCACATGAATCTATGAACACAAGGACATTCACAAACTCAAATTTCATCAATTTTACTACGAAGTTAACATTTTTACACTATCAAGAATCCATTAAATTTGTCAAATTTAAAAACTGAACGAATCTATGGAACTCACACTACTCTAGTAACAAATACACAGCATTATGAGTTTTACGATTGCATTCAACGATGTCTCTTGCTTAGAAATTGCTAACCTCATTGCCAATGGTATTGAACTTATCTTTCCTGCTATATGTGATCAAGCAACAATTAAAATAGGGAATTGATATTCACACCCCCCTTTTCCATATCCACACTCCTTTTTTTGTCTTTTAGCAAAAAAAATACATACAGTTCAGCACTAAAAAACAAAAAAAAGGAGTGTGGATATCAAAAAGGGGAGTGTGAAAACCACTCCCCTTAAAATAACAATATTCTTGGTGTGGAGAAACTCTTTTGTGAATCGGGAGATATTAACACTATGTGCCCAAAATTGTTAACCATGAAGTGCATCATGAAGATTCCCTCTTACCATGATGAATCGATAATTTGGGTAATTGGCACACATCCACAAGAAATTTGATTCGTAGTTTCATTACAGGGCAGTTTTCGGGTAAGAATCCTGATTTTTTTTAGTATTGTTCATATGTTCTTCAAAATGACAAGCAGCATAGCTTATAATAAGCACGAAACAAAAGAGACGAAGGAGAAAGGGATCAGGATAATGTAGCAACTATACTTGGAATCACTTCCGGGCAACCATGAGGAACTACTAAAAACAGCAACGCCTTCTTCATTGGTAATCTCATCATCATCATCATCATTTTCTGATATCTTACTTCCAAAGACAGACGCCTTTGCTCCCACAAGAACACTGGAAAATATAGCCCATTAACAAAAGACTACTACATATTATAAAATGGGAAAAAAATTAAAATGGCATATAAGATTGGCTATGAACCTGGATTCCATCAGCAAGTCATTTCTTTGCTGTGCCCTTTGGTGTAGAGTTGCAACATGCTGCGACAGAGGGCTTATCCCCAACTTTTTCTCATCCTATGAAGTACGGAAATTCAGTTATATAGTAAGAACTAGAAAAATGAACATCAAATTAAGCAACCACGGTATTAAGCAGCTATCCGAAACTAAGACAAAATCCTCATATGTTTAAGCACTTCATCGGTTTGGCTCATCAATATTATCCACCTGGCATCAACTAAACAGCAATACATGTTTTAGTTGATTAAAAATTTCCCCAAGTATAGCTTACATGATTAATTATCCGAAATGAATAACCAGCCAATATCCCACTTCAACGAATTTGGCAGGGTAGTAAAAGAATGCAGTCTCACCCACAAACCAATTTTCTGACCATTGTTTGATACAAGAAATTATGATCCCATCTCAAACGTTCACCAACTTGAAACAACCAAACCAATAAATTTAATCAAACTGGCATACTACAGTTTCCTTCCTTTAGCCACACTGGACTTAGTTATACTCCAAGTTAAATGTCGACCCACCATTCAGAATTCGACAACATTTTCGAAATGGCAAAATGAATAATTTAAAAATAAAAAAGAAATGAAAAAGGAGTATTTAATGGGTTGAGGCAAGATTTCTGACTTGGATATTCTAGTTCATCTCAAGATATACAGCTAATCAGACATCCAGCTTTGCATTTAGTGAAATGCAATTGATAATGAAAAAGAAGTTAATATGGCTGCTATGACTGGTGACATGGTTTTTAATGAATAAGATCTATTACTATTTTGTTCTGCTTAGAGCATCTACAACCTTGACCCAAATTTTTTCCCAAATTTGGGTCAAATTTTGGGTATAAACCCATTTTGGATCAGGCTCACTCCAATGGTAAAATGATCTCTTATCCAAATATATTATTTTTTTATGCTTTCAAGAGTATTTACCTTCATTTTGGTTTCCCTTCGTTTTTTTCCCCAACATCTCCTCCCGCTCAAAATGTAAGAGACAAATAACAAAAATTTCATAGTTTTGCGTTGAAAGAAAATTATCTTCTCCTTTTCTCCGATTTCACTTCTTTGCCTTTTTCCACTTGGCCAAGAAAACTACAAAATTTGCTTACTGATTTTTGAATTTTTGACCACCGTTTCGATAAAGAAACAGCAGTTCGATTGTTTTTGGCTTCCTAGTTCCTACTGCCACAGGAGAATTTTATGACATAATTTTTACTCCATGAGTTTGTTCCAGACTGATAGAATCCTCAAAATTCCATACTCATCCATTGAGCAAATTGGAAACCCATAACTGTTGGTTGAGAGAGAGAGAAATGAGAGGTAATGAGAAGAGCATCATCATCAATTTCTGGTCCTTTGCTTTCAGCATGGAAAGGGTTTTATTATCAAAGAAAAAACTGTTGGAGAGGAGAAAGAGCTGTTGGAAAATGGGGAGAAAAATGGGGAGAGGCTTGGGTTGTCCCAAATTTGGGCAAAGAAATGGGTACAACCCAAAATGGAAAAAGGGTTTCGTAAAGGATTGGAGAGGGATTTTTTTGTGATTTTTGCCCAAATTTTAATTTGGGTCTTAAAATGGGTCAAGGCTGGAGATGCTCTTACCAATCAGCCATAAGGACAAGTGTACTATGAAAACACAACAGAAGTACAAACTAAATCAGCCAAACGGCCCAAACCAAATTACTCATAATCTCAAGCTTATGAATCTGCCAATTAGCTCTCCCACTCCATGACAAGGTTTGTGTACCAAAACGGCTATTTGAGAAAGTCGACAAATAAAAACAAAATAAAACCAGAAAAGAAAAGAGGAATCATGGATATGCG